AAACCCCTAAGCCCCTAAAACCCCTAAACCCCTAAAGCCTAAACTTTATAAACCCCTAAACCCTAAACCCCTAAACCCTAAACCCCTAAACTTTATGAACCCCTAATCCCTAAACCCCTAAAGCCTAAACCCTTCCAGGGCCGGCTGGAAGTCGTTGGGCAAGCCCTGGAGCACCGCTGATGGAAGCCCCCGGCCTGCTTTCATGGGCTCTTAGGGTTTCAGGGTTTCAGGGTTTCAGGGTTTCAGGGTTTAGGGTTTAGGGTTTAGGGTTCAGGGTTCAGGGTTTAGGGTTTAGGGTTTCTGGTTTTGGTGTTTTAGGGCTTTGAGGGTTTAGGGCTTTGGTGCTTTGGGGTTTTAGGGTTTGGGGTATGAGTTCTTCTCGGTGCTAAAAAAGGGGTTGTTTGTACGGGTTTCTGTTTGGGGTTTTAGGGGGTTGCTCTAAGGGCCTTTTGGAGGTTTGTTAACGGTTTTTTGTTTAGGGCTTTAGCGGTTTGAGAGGGTTGCCTGAGGGCTCCATGGGAGTTTATGTGCTGTTGTTTAAACGAATTAGAGCCTTGATCTATGGCTTTGGGGTATATCATACTACAATTGTAGTAAGGAGCACCCCCCCCCCCCAAGAAAAAAATAGTGGTGGTAATTATTTAGACCCTTAAGTATTGAGGCTTTCTGTTCTTGGTGGGTTTTGGGGGTTTCGGGTCATATCTATTTCAGGGGTCGTGAGGGCCGGAGTGGTGGGCTCGCGAGCCCCACATGAAGCAACACATGCTTAGGTGGGTTTTTGGGATTTTTAGTTTCCTTATTTGGGTTTATAAGGGGCCCTTTATATCTAAATAACAAATGTTTAGGCTGGTTTTGGGGACAATCTTTATTGTCCCTTGTGGGGTTTAATAAGGGGCCCTATATATATATATATATATATATATTTCAGAGGGCTTAAAGGCTTAAACTCAAATGTTCAGAAAGTCCACTCTCCGCCCCAGTGACTTTCTTATTTATCAGGGGGCGCTTGGCAATTCGGAAAATCCAGACAGCAGAGCTCAAGCTTTAAACAATGCCGGCACCCCACAAGGTTTGAGGGGTTTAGTGGTTTGGGAACTGGGATTTTGGGGTCCTGGAGCTTTAGAGTTTCGGTGTTTGTAAATAGCTTCATAGTCTCGTCTCAGGCTTTCAGAGTCTAGGGTTTCAGACTTTAGGGTTCAGGGTTTAGGGTTCAGGGTTCAGGGTTTAGGGTTTCGGGTTCAGGGTTTAGGGCTTAGTGAGGGTTCAGGGTTTAGGGTTCAGGGTGTGGGTTTAATGCTTTGTTTGAGGCTTTGGTGTCAAGGGTCTCCCTAGCGATAGTCACAAGGGAGTTTTGCGTCCGCAAATAGTTGCTTGCGTGCTCCGTGAGGACCCTAAACCCCTAAACCCTAAACCCCTAAACCCTCAACCCTAAACCCTAAATGAGGAGACCGGCCACTCTCAGATCCTCAGCCAGTGGTTGTCTACAGCTAGGTGATCTGTGAGGAAAAGGGGGCATTGGCCCTTCGTAATTTAGAAGCCCGAACAATTCGTGATACTGCTTCTCGAGGTTCTTTCGTACTCTTACGGCTTCCTACAGAAGAGACCCGATAAACCCGGTTAGAAGTACTAAGGCCCGTTTGTTAGCTCCTGAAACTGCCCGACCCTCCGCCGACAAAGGACTTCGAGGTTTTTGCCTAAATGGGGGTTTCCGAAAATAGGGGACCCTAATATAGTACCCTAAATACTAGGATCCCTAATATAAGGACCCCAAAATAAGGTACCCCTAATTTTCTGAAACTCCCAAATCTTGCAGCAAAAACTCGCCACAGGGCTTTTGGGTCTTTAACGTGTAGTCCTCATAGGGTTTATGGGGTTATAAATTAGGGTTTAGAGTATAGGACTCCAATCAGCAGAAGATCTCGTAAGAAGCGGCGTTCTGGACGTACTAGTGCTCGGGTGTGAGCTTTTCTACGATGAACATCGTCCCAAAAGGCTTCCAAGTACATAAACAATAGAAATCAAGTAGGGTTTCTATAGTAGGAGCTAC